CCTCAGTACCCTAAATGAAGATTAGCAGTGAATCCACTTGTCCTAAATGATGTAAATCTGAACAATATGATCCTTATCCTCTCACAGACACTTAAGGTGCATAAGGTACCTATTACGGTGAGTTCAAATCTCTGCAAGAGCAACACAGGACTCCCTTCCTGTATGCATCTACTGATCTGGTCAGCTTTTGTATTAAATTCAATTCCACTGACTACCATACGATGTGGACAAGGTTTCATTCAGGAATTACAGCTCAAGCTACTTCATTTTTAATGGTGCTACATCCTTAACTTGTGAAGTAAAGCAAATCCATCCTCTAATCCACTATTTCACCCTTCCTCCACAACCAGGCATTGTGCCTGTCCAGATGAACAATCATCTACATTTCAGGGATATCTACAGGCCAGACCACGTGCTCGTACAGCAGTTCTGCACTGCGGTTTAGTACTTCTCTCCATCATGTTCCATACACATGGACGCATCAGGTACTAATCCCACGTCTCCTGCCACCCTCAGAACACGGAAGCCCACGGGCAACAAAAGAGAAGGTTCCCGGCATGTCAGTGCAGTCTGCGGCTGCCAGAAAAATCTGGTTCATCCCACCAGTTCAGATGGGTGAAAGATGCATCAATCTTGCCTCAACTACGTGAAGAAAAAATACAGTATTTTGACAGAAAAGAATAAATGAGTGTTTGCTTTTATCTCACTGTATAGATTTTCATTTTAAAGAAGAAGGAAGGAAAAAAATCTCCCTGTGATAATCTTCAGTTTGGTTCGCTACCTCTGCTTCTGCCCACAAAAAAGGAAAACAGTAGGCAAAATTTGCTGCTTGTTTTTAATTAACCTATTTTAATTCATGTCTGCAGAACCCTTGCAGATAAAACAGCTGGGTGGTTTTTTTTCTTCCTTCCTTTTACATATCTTAATCTTTCATTGAAGATGATCAAAAAACTATGGCAGCAGATGGGGATGGAATATGAAAGTTTTCACAAAGCAGTTCAAATATCAGCGGAGAAAAAAAAAAACCAACCAAAAATGGATTTCACTTTAAGTTTTGAAAAACATTTCTAGGCTTTAAAAATTTAGGCAGCTTTGTATCTTTCAGTTCTTAAAGGAAAATTCCAGCAATCATTTGGCTATAAGTTATTGTAAGGAAGTATTTACTGTATATGTGGTTATTTTCTTCTTTCCACATCTCCTCAGGTATACCCACCAATTTTTCAGTGCTTTTAGCCGAATGTATATTTAAGGTGAGGGAGATCAGAGAAATAACTGCTGTAAAGAACTACAACCAACAATCCTGTCTCCAGTTGTACAAACCTGCCCTTGATTACTACTTCTAGAAACCGTCCCTCTCACAGCACTCAAAGTGAGGAGGCTTAATCAGTGAACCACTCTTACCTAGGACCAACGTCTCCTGAAATTATCCTTAAATTCATCAATTAAAGTATACACTACAGGTTATTCACTTAGCTCTGTTTGGAATGTAAATGATGAATTTAAATGAATGTAAATTATGTAAACTATGTAGTTGGACAAAGCTAAGAAAGCTATTGAAGAAATTTTTGGGGTTTTTTTTTGCAAAAATATTGTTCGGAGTGCATCACTGCGACTTGTAAGACTGGATGTGAAGGGAGGACCACTAAATTCTGTCAGTGCATTTACTGAGCTACAATTTGTCAGCCTCAAGCAGAACTGGGAGCAGCAGAAAGACTCAACATCAAACACAGAAGAAATGAATTCAAGAGAAGTTTAGATTAGAGCAAGGAAAAAAAAAAAAGTCAGGAAATGGAACTGAAAAGCCTCAGTGGAACAAAGCCACATTACAGAACTGACGAGCCCTGTTACAGAATCTGCACATACCAGATCATCAGCGAGTTTAAAGTATCGCTGACACTTCTCACTGGATGAAGACACGGCCTTGCACGCACAGAGACGCACACAAGATGCAGCTGCTGACTTCTGGTGACAATTCAGAAAGGGGGACCATAGAGTGCTTTTCAGTAGCTTATTTCAATTAAATAAAATTTGATTATCCCCGTCACTTTTCATCTGAGAGTCTCAAAAGATTTAGCAGCCATTTATCCTCCCGAGAAGGGCAGTAGGGAGATCGCTTTGTCCACTACCGGAACGTGGTTGTTCACAAGTGTGGAAGAGCAGCACGTGACAGTTTAAGGACACAGAATACTGCTTTAGGTCGGGTACCTAGATGTTCCTCTAGGTTTAAATGGGGAAAGACTCTGGCTTTAATGATTTTTTTTTTTTTCCTTTAAAACCATCATTACATACCTTTAGCAACAGGAGGAAAAGTTTTGTTCAGTCTTAGAGACCTATGCGCAGCAATAGAGCTCTGTCTGGCATAGAAAAGGGGAGGGATGCCAAGGTGAGCAGTGCTGTAAAAAAGATGTAAATTGCTGTTTCTGCTGCCTACAATATGAGTATATTCCCGAGAGGTCTCATCCAGGCACTAGATTGATTCCACTTAGATTTGACAGAGTCACAAAATAAAGAAAACCCATTGTAAACAGTAAGCAAAGAAGGTGAAGTATACTTAGCAGTAATGAAAACAAAGCCTTAAGTGAAACATAACAGTCTAGCAGCAGAAGTCAAAGTCTGAGCACAAGATTCTTGAATATTCTGTGTTTGCTGACACTTAATCTTTTACAGGTAACATCAAGGTTCCTTAAATTGGGGGTGGTGGGGAAAGGAATATGCCTGAAGAAAGCAGATAAGTCAGAATGACTGTGGCAGCTTTCCTGAGCAACACCTCACCGAGAGGCTGAGGGACGGGGTATATTCACCTGCATTTTACCTGCAAAAGGACACAAACTCCTGGAAAACACAGGCAGGGAATGGGGGAAACCAAACCGATAGAGGAGTTTCTCCTGTGTTCGAACTCAAATGCTTGCACGGGGAGAGGAATTGGGACAATTTCCAATAGGAGGAGGTTGGATTCTGACAGTAGCACGACGAGTCATTAATAACACTAAAAGGTGGAGTAGAATGAGAGGTATCTTAAGTATTGCTCAGTGGCTAGACAGTAACTTGAGATCAAATTCCTGATTTTCTTTCTCGTTTTTCTACCACTGTAATGTCAGACAAGATGTTTCAGATTTAACTTCAAATGCATTTTAGCTCTTCATGTGCAACTTGAGGCATCCTGACCCAGTATCGGCACTGTGGGTCACTCCTGTATCTCAGTCTGGCAACTAGACACATTCTTTAGTTAACGAACGGTTGCAGTTTTACCCCAAGCTCTTCTAGCACTTTTCACCTCAGCTCTTAAGAGAGTAGTGCAAACCCTAGTATCTCTCAAGTCCTTCAATTTACAGGGAACTTGCCAAGAACCAAATGCAATAGTTCTCTAAAGTTTTCACTTTAGAATAAACTTACCTTAGAAACTAAATAATGCAAGCTTTTATCTCATAGAAAAAAACACCACAAACAAAAAAAGTGGTGCTAGGGAAGAAAAAACAACCATAGGTCTAAAAATGAAGAATATGTTCTACCAGTCTCAATGGTTCAAGACTTATGGCTAGCATTTCATAAGCTTTACCTTCCCTCTGAATCCAAACATTAGTCTAATGGGAATGTTACACTTAGACTAAACAAGCTCTCTTTGATTGCTGAATTACACTCGATTACCTACCGGTTTTGTAATTTTACTCTCTTGTAGGGTTCGAGCAGTTTCTAGCTGAAAGCAAGTGAGCCAAGCAAGCAAACGGAACTAAACCTGGGGTCTGCTGATGTGTGGTCTGTCCGGCTCAAAGAAACAAGAGAGTGCAGAGCACTTGGATTCTTTATAATCCATGTTGTGCAAAAATTAAAGCCGCTAGGAAGTCTTTTCATGGGAACAGCTACCAAAAGCTGGTAAAAGCATCTGTTTCTCTGGCCATGTTTATACATAAAAATAAAGGGGAAGACCTATTCTAAAGCAAGTGCCTTTGGGCCAATTTCCACTGTCTTTCTAATGCAGAATAAAGGCAATTGAAGGGATTACAGTGGAATCAATGAAAACACCCACACGTGTAGCTGGCAACAGAATTTAGTGCCATGCATCTAACAGAACATTCTAAATGTTTTAAAAGCATCTAGAAATGAGCTAGGTTTCTTTTCTACATCAGACATTTGCAACATACATGATGCACCAATACAAAAAAACCCCAAGGACCTGCTTTGCCAAAAACATAGGTTCTTCTGTTTGTTTTCCTTTTTTTCCTTCTTTTCATTGAAATAAATATGACAGAACTGAAACCTTGAGAACCTCAGAGAGCTACCTTGTCTATTTATGAAAGACCACCAGTATTTCAGACATCACGTTCCTTTCCCACCAGACGCAATACTGAAAAAACCCAAACCCTGTGGATCAAAGTGCAGTTTAAATTCTACTGCTCATCAGCTGGTGCTGGCAAATCCAGCTGGGGAACAGATTTTAATGAAACAAAATAAATTAATTTAAGAAATGGTCCTGAGCATTCACTTATTCGCATCACCTAGGCTACCAAACATCTATCATGAAGTAACAACAATTCAGTACCTACATACTGTAGGGTCATTCAAACTGATGACCTGGATTGTGAATTTTAACCTGTTGTCTCACATTATGACAGCCTAGGGACCCGAAGGTTCTTACCAAGTAATTAATGAAAGCATCTGTGCTGTTAGTAGACTTGCATGACATAAGTCTGCAAATCAAAAATGATAAAATCATTGACACAGAATTCAGCACTCATCATACATCAGTCTCCTTGAGGCATCCCATCCTTTAACGGTATTTGCAATAATTCCATGTGATTTCACAGAAGCATCGCACAAAGATCATTTTTTCTGTCATTTATACAGATGCAGCATGTCACAACAGCGTGGTCACACCCGCAACAGGGAAGATGGAGTGACTCTTGCACGTTCCATTCCTTCAGACAGTGCTGACAAGAAATCCATTAAATGAGACAGTTCCACAGATTCTGGATGTGTGTGTGTGTGTTTTATCTGCTTCTTACCTGGACTCCTTTTGAGTGATGGCAAGATAGATTTCCCACGAACTCTCTTCAGGAATAGCTCCATGTGGTACCAACAAACTGACTCCTACAAAAGAGCAAAGGCAGAATGTACCTTTGGGAAAGGCACTGGGTATACAGAACAATGCACGACTGCCTCCTGATTTACAAGACCTAGACGGGAAGAATGCTCCTCTGACATAGTGGTTCTGACTACAACATTATCAGATGAAAGGAAAATATGTTATTAATATCATCCACATAGGCAGAGGTGCATAAATTGCAAGTGGACCACATATGTATTTAAATAATCTAATTGATGGGACTATCATTATAGAAAGTAGCTAAATATATAGTATGAGGGACTTCTTCATTTATGACTTAACTGACTTAGTGTCTCCGCCTTTGTAATATTCATTCCTGAACATAAAAACAACCTGTGAAGAAATGAACACATTCCATGTGTTGTATTGACTGTACACTAAATATTGCATCCCTGAATTATATACTGTTATCAATCTTCTATAAAGACAGACCACATTTTTTATGGCACCCTTTAAAGTACCCATAGTATGAAACACGGAGGATAAAGCTCTAAATCATGCAGTTCAACCAGATACTAAGAGATAAGCCTGGACACACTAGTCAAATGAAAACAAAGTTGAATTTAAAGGAGACTTTGAATAAAGATCATCAGAGTTCGAGAGATATCTGGTGATTTCAGCTACATTTGCCATGTTGAAGAAGAAAGTATCCAACATAAGGAATTCTATGCAGCATGATATGAACACAGTGATGTAGTCCATCATACTGCAGGACTATGATTTTAACATCCTTTATTTGATTCTACTTTGGTGCCGTACATTTTCAGCTAATTTAACAATTTCTTAAGTCTAAAATAACGTCTCACAAAACTCTGAAGTCACAAAACAAACTCTACTTCTTAAACAATGCAAATTGAGCATCTCTGCTGCAGTGTTTCAGTGCATAGCCCGATCTTGAAATGCCCGTTGACTTTGAAGTGCCCCACTATGGAAATCTGTCAAGCTCTTAAGCTAGAAGAAAGAGAAAACCAGCAAGCCAGGAGGAAATGCTAACGAAAGCCGCGCTAGAGTTTTCATCGAGAGTGGAAGCTATTCTCCAGAGATGGCTGTTTGTTATATGCTGCGGACTTCAATAACATAATGAAGTCTGACAATGTTAACACAGTCAGATGTTGATGCGTGTAGATTCTGCTTTGAATATGACCCCATGATAAAAGATGCTGATCCAGTATCGACCTCCTTCCTGCGGAGCCCTTCTTTTGGATCAGGATCCAAGTAAGCAACAGCTTTGATTAATATGACTTTCATGCTGAAGACATCAAGAGAGGTAGTAATTTATAACAGTTCAAATAAGCATAATGCATCTTTACTACTCATCCCAAGCTTTGTTCTGATCAGCCATCTCCTCTGTGGGCAACATGCTCTACTTCCCAAAATTTGCATTAAGGGAGCCCCTACTTTGCTTTCCTTTTTTTATTTAGTTATAGAACACTGTATCAGGCAAAATAAGTTTAATCCAAAATTATTTACCAAATTTTCTCTGGTAGAGAGGATCTACCTACCCGTGTTTGGAACCACTAAACGGCCACCCAGGTGTCCAAAAATGGCAGTTGTCTTCAGCTCGCTCCTCGTTGAAAGGGAAGACAGGTTCTGAATGTACGTAGCCTTGTTTCTAGCCTGCATTGTACCAAAAGCTCTATTATTACCATGAGGAAAAGTTCCAGAATGCGCCTTTCCATGATACTCAGCCCTCTCTGTCACCCCTAGGGACACCATGAACGAACTCTGAACTTTGACTTTGATGTCCGACAGCGGGTTGAACAGCGAAGACTCTGTCATTAGCTCCTTGTCCATGGGATCCTGCAGGCAGATTGGTCCGCTGTACGTTCTGCTCACTGTCAGGTCAGGCTGCATGGAGGAGTTCAAAAGCAGGGAGTTACCTGGTGGAATGAAGCAGATCAGGCAGTTAGGTACTGTACTACGATGTGAAATCAGAAATCTCTTTCTGACCTCTCCACCATTTCCTTTTTGACTTGCTTTTCCTTCTTGATACTCTCAGAGCTCAAAATCACATAAGGTAATGTCAAAAAGCAGATGAAATGATGCCATAGATCTAACGGGTAGTTGATGACTGCTTTCCACACTTCAGGCATCTCCAGAGTACGTGAATCCAAGAAGGAACTTCCTTTTTGTTTTGGATTCATGTTTCTGTGTATGCCTGCCTTTATTTTTTAAAAAAATTAAAACCCATTGGGTGAAAACACACGTTCCTGCAGACCTTTTCCGTGAGCTTACACAAAACGATAACTTCATGCCTAAGGGAAACTGGGTTGAAAAGAAAGCGAGACAAGAGTAATATAGGGAAAAATACCACAGTTCTTCATTTAGGAGGATTTTAGCTCAGAAAACACTCCAAAAAAACCGGAAGGAATGGATAGATTGTGGGCCTGAATCCTTTAGCTGGTTTGGTCTTTTGTTTGTTTTGTATTTTTGGTTGGTTGGTTGGTTTTTAATAAATAGTTCTAAGTAGTAACTGATTTTCTGGAAATTATCTGTACTGCATCCTTGAAAATATGATCACTTTAAGGGACGGCAGGTTGGATTGCTAACATTAAAAATACATTTCCCCAAAGAATAACATTTGGATCACACTAATCCGTTGCCCGTATGTCAGTATTGTGCTCTCTTTTCAGCAAACTGAACAGAGAATTGGCCTTTTTTTCAGCTGAATTGTTTAGTTTACAAATGCTCTTATTTAAAAAACCCTCAGAGAACCCCGCGTAGCTGAACTGAATAGTGTCCTGGCGTAAGAGAAAGTGGGGCACTCAGATAGTTTCAGAGATACTGGTTTTGAAACATTAAAGTCAAGCAAACAATTCCCCCGACTCAAAACAGGACTTTCATGGCAAACTGAACAACAAAGGAGAAAGTTACTATTTGAGACAGTCATTGAGAACTCCATGACTAATTAAAGGCTTGGATTTTTAAATGAATGAGTAAACATCCCTCAAACATCCTTGTCTACCAAGCTCATTTTCCAATTTCTTGCAACTTCTGCTTGGTGAGGAATGTTTTCCAGAAAATAAGGTAACTGTAAAAACAAGAAGACACAAAAAAACCCCAACCAAAACTCTGCACCATATTTCACTTTTCCGAAGACAGAAGAGACATGGGGATACTTTCGCACCCCACCAACACACCCACTCACCCACAATAAAGCAGGTCTCTCTGTTAGAATGTCAGGACGGAATTAAAGAAACATACTATTTTGAAGTAATCACCGATTTTTCCCCCTACCTTTTTGTCCAAAGGAAGTATTATTCCAGAAAACATCTGAGGGCTGCTTTTAGTAAAAGTAAATATTTCTTCCATATTTTATTGCATTGGTGACTTTCTGAAATGTTTGCGTTTGTTTTTTTTAATCAATACATCTTTAAACACATTTATTTCCCACCTCAGAATGCAGATGTTTGCGTGCTAGCAGCTTACAAAAATACCGAAAGTTAATTCTCAAATTAACAGTAAAGAACTAATCACTTTTTTTGCAGCAAAGAAAACAGAAGATCTGTAAATGAATAGGAAGGAGCTACAGACATGCTTTCTGGGTTTGTTTTGGGTTGTTTTATTTGTTTTGCTTTGTTTGGGGGTTTTGTAAGTCACAAATGTCAGTGTAGAAGCTAGTGCCAGCATTTCTAAAGCACTTAGAGCGTGGTCAGGAAAGATTATGTGTTTGTCCAAGTTGCCATGGCAGATCAGGAGCAGAGACAGTAAGAGACACTTCTAACCACCAGGTCCTGGTCCTGGTCCTACCCTTCCCTGGCTTGCAACGCTCAGCATGAAGCTAGAATGCCCTCCCACAGCCAGTCATCGGATATGAGCTTAGGATCTCTTTGCAGTAGGAGCTCTGGAGAGAAGAAAATGAAATCACAACACTAACCTTGTCTGACTGTTTTAAAATTAAATGTCTGGAAGCCTCCTGTCAGTGCAGATGAATCAATCACATCCACGCCGTACTCACTCTGACTCCGTCTGTAAAGGGTAACGCCAACCACCAGCACAGCTACAGCAATGACTGCTGCTCCCAGGCCAGAGTACAAGGCAATGTCACTGGCAGTCTCAATATCTGAAAGGAGAAAAAAGTGGGTACCAAGTCAGCAACCCCCACGGAAACGTTTGTTCTGACTGGCGCTGGCTGGCCGTGAGCAGAGGGGATTGATTGTGTGAGGCCACAGCCGCGTGGCCAGGGAGGTGAAGCTCGGAACATCAGTGCAGAGCGGATCACAGCAGGATGGTGGAGCACAAAGGAACACTGAAAAGCAAGCATTTGAAAGCACGAGCAAGTTTCCTGATGCATCGCTCCATATAGGTGAGCTTTAGGGACTGCATCATGGTCTTTACAGTGGAGTTGTTTTTTTTTTTTTAAATGAGAGAGTTGGACTTCTACGAGTCAGAAGCAGAGCGCTTACCACTAAATAGCCTCTCTCTTCAGCACACGGTGCTAGCTTGGGCTCCTTGCTGAGCCATCGTTCCTCACTCCAGCCCAGTGGAGATCATTAAGGTATGGTGACACGACCCTTAAAAAGGGAGGACATGCACCAACTGCAGCTAGGGAGGGCTGCTTTAGGGACCAGCACGAGTCCCATCTATTGCTAGCTTCCAGGGACATGTAAGTGTTAGATGTGAACTCTGGAGCTAATCCTGGAGGTCATGAATCCTCTGAAAAATCTTAGTGAAGATTTCCCCTTCCCTCCTCTTTATTTTCTGTGTGAGCTTTAGTGTAAGAAGAACAGTCCATTGTCTCACAGCTCCGAGAGAGGCTGAGGAGATCCCACGTATCTTCTTGGATTCCTGCAGGCATCTTCAGTCTTTGGAAACCAAACCTTCCCCACGATCACACCCATGCAACTAAGCTTACAACCAAGTTCTCTAAGATTTCAAACTTTTACAGCAGAGGAGAAGAATTCATTGCTTTGAAAGAGTGAATCCAAATGAAACCTGCAATATTATGTAATTGAATTATCCATTCCCGCTATTCTAGATCTTCTGGGATTTGGGACCACGTACCGTGAAATTAAATTACTTGGCAAGTTCACTTAGTGGGTCCTTAGATAGTTCCTTAATGCCAAACTCCAGTTTAGAAGAAGAGATAATCATGTATTCACCTTATACATCATCTGTTATCCTACTATGTGGTGCTTCTGCTATCAAGTGAGAAGCACTTGGTACAGAAAATGCATTTATTTATAACAAATGACAGTGACAAAAAATAACTAGGAAATCCAGACTACACGATATCAGTAAACAAACTGCAATGTACAGAAATAGGGTAGGAAGTTAAATTCAGCATTTAATAAATAGCCAATTACTGATATTTCTTGATTAGTATTTGGGAGGAGGCTTCTGTTGCACATATGTTTTTCTGCAGAAAGTCAGATAACTTCATTTCAGCTGAGTTTTTAAAATGAACGTGAAACTTCAGACCATTGAGATGAAAGAAATGAGTACCTATGGGCAGCATCAGAAAAGCTGATTTTCCTGGCTCACCAGTTCGTCACGTAAACTAAATGTCTGACAACTAACACCACAAGCAGCTGAACTTCCTGGGAAGACACATCAGCTGCCAAGCGCCATCGCTGAGCACCGACTGCTCTCTAACATCAGCGAGATGCCGTATGAATTGCAGCAGCGAGGAGACGGCGTACGTAAACATGGCTTGAAGTGGGCTGGGAGCACATGGAAGGTTTGCTGTGAGTAAGGCAGTGGAACTGATGTTGTAGTTGGGCAGCTGAATCAACAGTAAAATAAACTGTTTGGCTCAAATGTCCTTAATGGAAAACTGCCTTTCCCTCCCCATGCTCAAAGTGTTCCCAGTCAATCCCAATATGACATTCCAACATCCCATTCAACCCACAATAAACATTTTGAAATCGGTTTTCCTATGGCTGCTATTTAGCCCAGAAAATACTTCTGCAGTTGGGAATTTTCAGATAACCTCATACTGAAGAGGTTTCCGTTTTTAACACATTTAGAACTTGCTGAAAAGAAAAGATCACAAAATTTCCATGCAAATATCAGCTTTCAGAAGAAATCCATCTTCTGTGGCATGTCACGACAAGTAATCACCACTGAATGCACTTGTAAGTAGCTCTTATCCAACTTCTCAGAACATTACAATTGCCACACAGTTCTACTAAATATATTACTAGAGAAAAAGATTTTTTTCTGAAGCCTTTTTTCCTCATATTTTCCATGAGATGCCCCCTTGGAAAATGTTATAAAGAGAATTTTAAGCATTTTAGGTTCAGAGTTAGGAATTCTAGCAAGTAAGCTGTTAGCTGACAATGTGAATGTATTAGACTAACAAGGGGAGAAGTCCATATTCCCGTACTCCAGACGGAATAAGTAGACACAGAAAGTTTGTTGTTACAGGGAACTAAGAAACTCTATTGTCGTCTTAATTTTTGTGGGTAATTAGTACAATGAACAAGCCCAGAGAAGGAATGCTTATATCTCCAGTGGCAGAAGAAACTCAACAGCAAGTGGGTTCTTTTCCTTTCCAGAGAACCACAGTGATCTGGTCGGTATTTCACCACAAAGCACCCTGAAGTCTTCCATTTTGATCATTACTTTCAAACAGAAAAGTGTGGAAAATTTGAATTGCTGTTTCTGCCTTCTCAGGATAATAAATTACAAAGTTTGAAACATGCAGAAACAACCTGTCAGTAAAACTTACTGCCACATCAATGGTAGCTAATACAGGAGCTGATCTTTCATCATCAAAACCAGAATATAAAACACACCTTCCTCAGGTTCCCGACTGTGAGTAACTGCAATTTATTACTCTAAATCCTCTTAAAGAGCTTAGTTGCTTCTTTTCAATCGAGTCAGATATCAGGTAATTTAAGTTTCATACTTTTAGAACTGCACAAGACTGTTGGGCACAGGTTAAAGACGAGAGCAAGAATAGAGAATTTAAAAAAATGAGAATAGCTTGACTCAAGCAAATTTTTTCTGGAGAGAACAATTCTGTTTTCAGTGAATACTTTTAAGCATCCCTAGAACTTGAATTTGACACTTTTCTATAAGTTATACGATTAAAAACTCTTACAGTTATTCTTTCAGAATTTCCTTACCTTTAATAAAACGCGCATTGTTCTGTTTCATAGAAGACCTGGAAGAGTTATTCAAGCGTTCCCATAACTATTCCATTGCAAGGGAAACAAACCACCCACAAACCCAAAGTAACACAACACATAGAGTTCAGAGCAAAAGGATAACCTGTTCAGGATTTAGTAGATTTTTAAATAGCTTTATCTTAACAGTGTAAAACAAGAGTGGCATGGCATTCCTTTGAATTGTTCCTATGGAACACAACTGCTTAAGAAATGGGACTTTCATTTTTACAGAGGATGTTAGTATTTCTTTAGAAACAAATACTGTTTTTTAAAAGTAATTTTAGTCTCTTCTCCTTTCTGTCTTTTCTTATGGATAATTCCTTTTGCAGGAGACTGGAAATTAGAGAAAAAAGAAAAGCATGGCAAATTTGGGGAATGGTGTAATTTTCTGCTTTTATTTTTTCCCAGAAGGGAACAAAGTGAAAAACAAACAAACTAAAAAAGAAAACATTTATAGTCAACCAATTACTATTTAATGAAATGCATCCTCCCAGCCCAGAGGAGGTAGGGACTCTTGTAAAGCACTGCCATTTTTATACATTTCAGTTACAGGATACATGTCTGTGGTAATTGTAGCCTATATTTCACTCCACCTCCTGACACTGTTACACAACATTTATTGAAAGCACATTTGATGGTAATGAAGTTTCTATTAACTATGATTAAGTTTCATAAAGCACCTGAAGATAATTTAAGATGCGCAGGAGCAGAAAATGAAACATTTGGTTTAGTACATTAGGAAACGTAATTGATTAAATTATCTCATTTACAATAAGTGCTTTCCAGGAGCTATGCAGGGCACACATTTCCCCCCGTCTACCATTAGAGCTTGCTAGGCGATTTGAAAGATTTTTCCAGCTCCCCATCCTCCCCCAGTTTTCCATCACTCTCACTTCTGATCCCCCTTAGCATCCTGAAGTCCATTCCTTCACATAGCCAGTCTGGGAGAACAAGGATCCGAAGTCAGAGAATCATGTAAGAGGTTATTCAGTAGGACAGGTTGTTTCTCAATTATCTTCATAATTGACTTTGATTTTGCATCAGTGATGACTCATGCGGTCCTGAACTAAGTTCCTGTTTGCCAAACAGCAACAACTGTATTCTGTGTTTCTAACCCCATGGCTATAAAGAAACCCTTTTAATTCTCCCAGATATCTTATATGCTAAATCAATTCCATTAAAGTTACCTTTTTAATAAATCAGAAAATAAAGCGATTTGACTGATACTCTTTCAAGATTCCCTAATTAATTGGGAAGTGCGCAGCTAAACGCACAAAACCATCTCAGTCGCCTGAGCTGAGCAATGACACAGACTGGCTGCTCAAGGCAGCAAGAAATTTCGCTGCAGAATGTTTTGACATTGCAGCCTACAGCATGTGAGGTCCAAGGAGATACAGTTCAGGTTAGGATTTCCAAATGTTTTCCTCATCATTTAGGGCCCAAGATCCATAAAATTTCAAATAATCTGATCACTCTATGCCCCTATATCCTGGAGAAATACTCAGACTTAAACCCCACATAATTTATAATATAAATTAATAGAAGACTGTCTCAAAGAAGATAGAAACAATTGCATGTGTGCAATCTGCTCAGTACAGGCAGATTCTTGTTTTAAGTCCTCCAAAGGAATTAAGCCCAAAACGTGTTTATAAATCTATTTGTCAAAATTCAAAGACAATTTTATGTTGAAAATTAAGCAGTCCAAAATCTTCAAGACTTTGTGTATGGTTTATGAAAGAAAAAACCAATGTCTTGGCCTCACGGCACCTGTGGTTTTGATGAAATTGTGTCCTTTTTTTTTTTTTAATGAAATCTTTCAGTTGATCAGTTCACTCCAAATGTGCTGCTCTAAACTAAAATTCCACTGAAATCAATGGCAGTCTGAGAAACAAAGTGCAGGACAGAACCCCCCCAGCAGTATATAAACGCTATCTAATACTCTTACAGAGTAAAGCGTATAAATACCCTTTACCACTTCATAAATCGAGGCCGAAGTGAGCTGAACAAGATCAGACAGAGCCCGTAGTGGAACCAGATTTGAACCAAGAGAGCCAAACTCCTATATTCATGTCTTTTTTTCTAATTACAAGTCCTCAAGAGATAATTTTAAGATCAGCATTCCTGTAGCAAGGGCTCCCAGTCAGACACAAATTGCAAAAGAACGGTCACTTTTCTGTTTTTAGTCTCAAACCTATGATCACAAAGATGCTAAGAAGATGCTTTCAGTAGATGTGAAAGCCTTTCATATAACCTTTGGTTTTATTTAGCTCCTAAACAAATAAAACAGCATGGCAGAGAAGATGAGAAAAGTCATATTTACAAGAGAAAAAAAATAACTTACTTTGGGATTTTATTTCATGAAGAGGTTTTTTATCTGAGAGAGAGAGAGAGAAAGAGAGAGAGAGAAAGTTGCACTTAATAAATTTACATGGAGCATATCTATTTTCTATATCGCTTCTGTCTAGCTCTATAAATGAAACATTTTCTCCTTGTTTGCTGACAGTATGAATATTTTATGTTGTCCATATTTTTCCATTCTTTTTTTTTTTTTCTAAATCTCTTTCGGGATGTTTCTTTGCAGTAACTTCTCATTTGGTTAATTCAAGTATTTGTTAGCTTTACTGGATGCTTTTATTTAGAATATTATATGTCTCAGCAATAAGGAAGTTCAATACTTTGAAGCGGATCACTTGGCAAAGAAAGTCAGTTAAGAATTATTTCTTTGTATGTTTGATATATGGAGAGGTTAGTGATGGACATTTAAAAAAGCAATTTATAAAATATAAAAATGTACAATATATTCACATTTATGTATCTAAATATATATATATAAACCGATAATGACATCTATATGTGTCTACAAAGAACATACAGAATCAATGTACTCCCATACATATGCAAATACGTTATAAACCAGGTTTTGTACAGTAGTGCATCTCTTAAAAAGGAGGCTTCTCTGTCTCCTCGTAATAGGCATTTGAGCTGTCCTTTCTACCCTAATACCTGGAAAAACAATCTTTAGAGAACGGGAGACTTGGGCTTGCGCAGCACCCACGCTGCCCGCACGCAGGCTCTGCAGAACCGAGCAAGGCGCCGGGCACGCCGGTCCCAGCGTCGCCGCTGTCTCCACGACCCCGCTTACAAATTCACGTTCGGACTGGGGTTGCCGGGACTGTCTCAAGGCTGCGCTCCGCGTGCTCTGGACAGTCTCAGGGGTCAATTCTGCCACCCCTTAGTTCCTTGAGCAGTCTGCCCAACTTGAGCAACTGCTCCAATACCTTTTGTTGAAAGGTCGTCTGAAGAAAACAACAAAGCATGACATATAACTTACTTACTTCTATAAAATTCAACAGAGGCTAGCAGTTCAGCGGAATTAGACTCATCTAATCCAACTAATCTAATCAGACTAATCTAATAGACAGAACAGAATGAGGGATATAAATCCTTTAGCAGATAAGGCTATATCCATTTCCTAGGTGCTTTGCGTTGTCAGGAAATTCCCTTTGACCGAGCTGTTCCCCGATTTATCTTCTGGATTTCGTTTTGTATGCGGGATCTGGTACTGGCTATCTCTAGAGGTCGGTTACCAGCACAATCGCCGTTACCGCAGGCCTGTGATCTACGCTGGGTAACAGTCGTCTGAATGGAAGCCACCTCAAGGTACAAGATGCTCCAGCTTAGTGTCTTGCTATGTGATACTGTGAGCACATGGATTATGAGGCGCCTTCTATTATTTCTACTATTTCTGAAAATGATTGGTTTAATAATACTTAACCCAAAAGATTCTTCAATTTTGGCTTTGCCAAAAAGCTAGGTGTGTGGTTTTCTTCTTCTTGAGGTTGTTTTTATTTTTGCTAGGAAATGATGTACACAAACACCAAACGAATAGTATCAGACTTGAGCTTTGCAATGGAAATAAACATTTCCATGCGACTGACATAGTGCTATCTACAGAAAACTGCAATAGAATTGAAATGCATTTGCCATATAAACTGGGGAGATTGCTAGATCCAGAAGCCTCTTGGCAATATTCAGTATCATGGTTGGTTGAAAAATGGAAAACAAAATTATTTGTGATTTATGATGCATTAGTAAAAACGTTTGTAGTTCGTCTGCTTATGGCCCACTTGTTTGTTTCTTTTTTGGGCACTGGGTAAAGAAATCAATAGTTTTTGAAATTATAAAAAAATAAGTTTAAAGCAAATAGATAAAAAAGTAAAAGAAAAACCCTCTACAATCCCCTCTCTTTTATTAAGCAAAGAAAAAGCTTTCACCTCTGCAAGATAGAGAGAAATCCACAATGGAAAAGTATACTACTGAGAATAGCAGAAGGGAATAAACAATGAAAGAACATATATGCAAGAAACTAGTAAGTTATTAGGACCATCTTGAGCGAGAGTGACCTTTGCATTCAGATTGAGTCAGTCTCTATTCTTCTCCCAACTCGGCATGCCTGGCAATCTTTCATATATATCAAAACCAAAAATAATTCTACCTTTCTTCTGCATATAAGTTTATATCTATTGAATTGTTACAAGCCCTAGAAGAAATTCCCTGAAAGAAAAGCAGTTTCAGTTGCTCCTCAGGTAAGGACTGGACTATCTGGATCCATCCAGAAAATGAGCAGAGCCCTACGTTCTCACCCTTACTTTCACTTAACTTTTATTTGTTAACCAAAGAAACGATTCATTTCTATTTTTGCCTCACGAAAGGAACAAAGTTAACAAGTTGTGCCTGATAAATAACCTCCAAGAGATTAGTTTTTGGTAGCACAGTACTGCATTTCCTTCACAATTCCCCATGGGATGAAAAGCTGAGCAGAAAAGGCGCACATTGGAAGATGAGCAGGGGAAAAAGGTTTTTAAAAAAATAGGGTAATTGCATCAAGCCCTATTAGCTGAGAAAACAATTACAGCCTAAAAATAATTTGACACAAGTATACACATACAGCAGGACCCATAAAGGAGTAATGGTATTGCACTCCGAGATGAAAGAAACCGGAGACACTTAGTGCTTCACTCGATTTGAATGCAGATGGAAACCGCCTCAGAACCAAGACACGCTCCCTGAACCGCCCATCACAGCAGAAGGAGGAGATGAGCGTATGGAAAACACGAAGAACACGTAGGGCAGAGCTGACCTCGGCTCACTCTCACCCTTTCCCATCACCAGGCTGTAGCTTCCTCGCGCACTACGCGGCTTGCTCAGCTCCGTGAAGTACCGTTACACGCGAAGGGTAACGCCGACGACGTGCTCGACTCCGCGTTACACCGGGGTGGATTTTTTTCCTCACAAAATACCTGGAGATCAGTTTCTGATCCCAGTATTAGGTGAAAAACTGCTGGTGTGTGCAGCAGAGAGAAATCTTCTCTTCTATTTGTCTTTGAATTAATTTTAGAATTTAGTTCCCAGTTTCCCTGACTCCCATCTCACCTTATACAAGGCACAGAAATACTTTACCCACTGAGATGTCTGCATGGAAAATCCAGCAGCAGCAGATTCCCCCCGCCCCAGATATTCAGCATAAGCTGAGAATTTCATTCCGTTAATTTGAAATAGTATTGCTTTGATGTCAGCATATGCATCCCTAGCAGGCTTAGATTTTAAACGGCTTTTCCTTTCAATCATAAAATTTGTTTTTTATTACTTATACCACTTATCCTTTGTAAAATGATTTTGATAGTTCATTTTCAACATCGAAGTTATATTCTACAGACTTTGTGCTTCACAGCTGACACTAAGTTGATTAAATCTGTACAAAATTTACTCATATTTTAAAAAAAATGCTTTTTGTATCTTTTTACCCATAATGATCCATTCATTTATTTTAAAGAAGGCAAGTTCTTTGCACATAGTGTATTAAGGACATTTTAAGTCCTATGTGCCAAAAAGTGATTTGCTTCTGAAAGAGGAAGCTTGTGCTAGTCCAGATATTTGTTTTCAGAGATACACGGTTTACTCCACTTCTGTTTGCACGTGGTTTTGCAAAATAGTTATATTTTCTTAAAAGCGCTTCTATAAAGTGATTCTAAATGCCATGGCAAAAAAAATTAAAGTTCTTCTGAAAAGGCAATGAGGAAATCCTGTGCTACTTCGATTGATTTCAACTTGCTGGGGCATTTTTCTTTTTTACTGCAGTGCCATTAGTCAGGTAAGTCAGTGTTCATCAATAATAATATTCTTTGCACCAGTGGCTGTACAAACATAAAGCAGAGGGATAGTACCTGATCCAAAGAGTTTGATTTTGTACAAAGCGTATGACAGGCAAAGAAAATAATAATAATCATAAAAAATTCAGGTAATTATTAAAACTAAGTTAGTTGCCATGTTGTAACTATTCCAGTAGCTCCTCTATCAAATAATTTGGCGGTAAGAGCTTGCTTTCAGTGCTTGCTATTGGAGTTCTTCATAGGGAATATTAACAGAGGGGCTTAAGTAAAGCAGTAACAGGGAAAGCTATACTCTATTGTAATCTATCTGATGGATAAACAGAGAATTTATGTTAGTATGACATCTTTTATAGGCGTTAAATTTAATAACAGAAAAAATACCCTGGCTGCACTATATGCGTATCTCTAATCAGCGATATGACTGTCACGGGATGTCTTCTTTCCTTCTTTCTTTTTGAAACTTTGTTTTCTGAGAAGGAAGGTGAGTTGGCAACCGACTCCTTACAGCCTAAAGTGTTTCCGCTTTCAACTCCTAGTGATGTTTCTCTGCAGGACCTTTCAGAAGGCAATCCCCTTTATTTTTCACAGCCAAAACTACTACATTTGTGTCTGCTGGAAAAAGCCAACCCCTCCCCTGTCTCATGGCCCCTCTGAGATGAAGTGAACTGTTTGGACCAGCAGACATCCTACCCCCTTTCTCTTTCTGTTGGAGGAACTTGCCCACAAGGTTCTCAGTAAAGCTGCAGGCCATACAGACTGAGATGAGGAGTACAGCACTGGGGGTAAAGGTTGGTTTTTAAGAGAAAGCAATAACTAGCAAAGCATGTTTTCAGTAACGGCACAGAACAGTGCATGAATGCACCAACATGGACAGAGTTCACCCTCGAGAATTTCATAATGCAGCTTTTAGATTTCTTAGTGTGAAAAACAGCCTTGTTCTAGGGAACACAGACACATTTAAAAAAATAATTTTTAAAAAATATTTATATAAAGCGGACCATTGCACTGGTAACGTATCTGAGACCAGAACTCCAAACACCCAGTCCTTTTTCCTCTATGTGCAGAAACACATTTCATTTGACCAGTATGTGAAACCTTTGTTCATATAAAATGCTTCACAGGGCTTTATCCTAGAATAGTTCCTGAAAATGCACTCCTGGAATTAGCGGTCAATGTCAGGCGTAGTCCTTGAAAGGCAGCTGGCCAGTACTGCACCAAGTGCACTGCACCTTGCACTTGGCTTGTTGAATTTCATGAGGTTCAGACAGGCTCACCTCTCCAGCCTGTCAAGGTCCCTCGGGACGGCATCCCTTCCTTTACCACCCTGCCACGTCGTTAAGGCTTTTCTTGGAAGCAGCAACATGGATGGGAGTCACCTTTTATTAACTCTGGTGAAAATCACAGCAGGAGCCAACTAGGTGGTAAGTCAACTCATGACTGTCACAGTGTGCAGACCTCGGCTGCATCTTTTCATGCCCCTTTCAACGCATCCTTCTGATAGTCTTCCAAAGGATATGCTAATCTGCGTACATGAACGGATTCTGGATTTATCAAGCCACCTGCAGGGAAGGGCATTCATTTAATGTATAGGAAGGAGAAAGACCTCAGAAAACATCATGTGATCACCACATTGGCCCTCAAAAGCTGAATGAATTGCAGTGGTCACAAATTCTCACTAGTTATTCTTTTTTAAAACATGGGGAAGGAAAAACGTCTGAATTTCATTTATGTCCTTTTAAACACTGAAGCTTGTCTGCCTGATACCTTGGAGCTGTTCTGTAACCCTGGAAAGTTTAAGTAGCGACATATAATCTATGATATATGGTCTAATAATTAAGAAATTATTAACATCTCGGTGCAAAAAAAGGGAGTTCATTTTATTTAGAAAATGATTTTCCTCATCTCACCAGAGGTACTTCATTGCAGAACTGGGTGGGCACAGTGGCTGTTTCTTTCTCTCTGAAACCGCAGCCAGTATTGGGACGGTGCGCGTGAGGGAAGGCGTGGGCACTTATGCTGCTGTACGTGAAGGTTAGGAGCTCAGGGCTTAGGATTTATAACTGTATTCCTTCTGCTGCATGCATCGTGGTGGAAGAAGAAAATGACTGCTAGTCATAATGTGAACACATATACGCAAAAGATCAGGAAGGAAGGGTAATGCAGTGCCACAGAAACAAAGAGTATTTCAATAGAAACTTAAAAGAAAAAGTAGTCTTATTCCAGTTTACATCTTTCAGCCCTAGCACTCCTGATTGCTCCCGTGGCTGCTGCTTCATTGCTAGAAAGCGATGAGGTGACAATATCACTCCATGGAGAGGGAGCAGCATTCAGGGTAGGAATAAACTCCTGAATTCCACCTTTGTTTCGAGCCTATGGAGCCGGCCCCGAGCGTTCTGCAACTCTGCAGCTGCAGGGCTGATGGTCTTGGCCCCTAGCTGTTTGTTGATAGTAGCAACTACTAAATGCCAGATGCTTTCCAGACATTTATGAAGGGCAAATCCTTTCACAGGGAGCTCGCAGAGTAGATTTGCCTTTATTTAACTTCTGTGTTAAAGGCAACAAATGAAGTAAACTTTGCCCTTAAACAGCTCTTGCGCCAAGAGTATTCGTGTTGGTGCTTTGCCAGTTTACTTGCAAGAAAAGGAAGAAGGCTAAGTAGCACATTCTGTCAAGTATGGTGTAGCAGGTGGTCATAATTACACATTGCAAAAAACCTTTATTTGGATTTCTCGAATCATCTGATAATTAATAGGTAAAGTATGTGCCACACAAATCCAGTGACTCAAAAACCACTGTGGATTTCAAACCTCACATATGCAACCCTCTGAAAACAATCTGGTTTTTCACAGTAATATTTCAGCCAGAAGAATTGTACCGACACGGGTGCGTGGCAGACACGCTACATTCCCTGGATTGCAGCACGCATTTTAGGCCATACCTCCTAAAACCAATTCCATGCCAACTGTTACTCACCTTGAATGCAAAGGCCTTCCGTGCAGTTCTCTGACTCTTGACTCAAGCCCTCGCAGTACTTCCCTCCGTTTCTTGGAGGTGGCGCGATACATTCCCGAACTCTCAGATGCTCGCATTCTGGACTGCACACAGACCACTCGCTCCACACCTCCCAGTTTCCATCCACTGGATGGGGAGGAAGAAAACATGACCACCGTCACTGCATATCAAACTGCTATAGCTAAGAGGTCCTACCAAGAATACTTGTTGCATCTCTCTTCTCAGGTCACAGCAAGTAAACGAAGTATAATTATCCGGAGAAATAAATACAGTTTTATCAGATGGCACGTTAAAAATCCAGCATTAGAATGTACCACCTCAAGCGTGCAATATAGAAGCTTTTAAAATAGCAGCAGTATACGACACTCTGCAATAGTGTCCATTAAAACTGTAGGAGGAAACATTTTCTTTGCCACCTAGCTATCAGTTTCTAATGTTTCAATACAAATTCTACCTAAACCAGGCTGATGTCGAGAGGCCACACATTTTCCTACCAGAGGAATGATGCTGCCATTTACAAAAAGAGCATACCTGGCCTTGTAGACTTCTGGCTAATGCCCTGAGCAAGGCGATGGATCAACGTGTTGCTTTGCTGACTGATTCGTACCTGTCTCTGACCCTGTCCCAAACGAGAAGGGATTCCACAGTTCCCTTTCTTTTTCATGCATAAATCAGATTCAAGAACAGTCAGATGAACACACAGACATTTATAAATAATATTAAATTCTTTAAATCCCAGTTCAGGACACATTCTAGCTAAAAAAACTCATAAAAGCTAGAAAAGATATTTGCCAGAATCCAGACAAGTTATGCTGTGACCCCAGACAAACATAGAACATACATGTATACGATCCTACTAACTTTCTTTAGCTGTATTAAGTCAAACACCAATTCCAAAATCAGGTAAGGGAGGTTTCAGGTGAATAAACGAGGAAACGTACAGCGTCCAGGGCTGTAACACCGAGCTCCATGTATAGCAACAGCTCGGTTTCAAAAGGTTAATATACCTGAAAGCAAACTTTTGCAAGCTAAATGAAGCTTTTAAGTGAAGTTCTCAGCTTCAGTTTCTGTGTTTCTCTTTCTAGTGTTACTACCATCGCCTCCCCCTTCCCTATACCCCCACCCAATTACATGATTTTTCACATCGTGCCAGTTGCTGGTTTGTTATTGGGTATTTAGATAGCTTCAGGGTAAGTTAAAGCACTGACAAACCTGGCAGATCAAGGCCACGGGTGCTTGTGAGTGCTGCTCAGACCCTACACAAGGCTCTGAGCTGTAGTCTAAACAAGGACGCACGTATTTCCAATTTCCTTTTTGACCTCAGTGGGCTCTTCAAAGCACAGTTGTCTACCTGGCATTTCAGACTGAAAGCGCTCTCCCATAAGTGTGACATTTAAACCTATTCCTTAGTAGACTGTGTGTATCTCACCAGGGCAAAGAGAAGTGCAGGTAATTTTCTGCACTGACATTCCTTCACAAAATGCACCCCCGTTGAGTGGAGCGGGGTTGGTACAGGTCCGTGATCGCTTCTGCCAGCCCCGACCACACTGTGCATTGCAGTTTGACCACTCGGTCCATGACGACCAGCCTCCATTAACTGCAAAACACAAACACGGTTGAGGTTGCAGTAGGTGTGCCGAGAGACATCAAGGAACAAATCTGATCAGATCATTTCATTCAAAGGCAGAATTTTGTTTTTACATTCTACACGTAAATTCCAAGCTGAAGTTGGAGCACTGCTACCTATCGGTACACAACTACATAAAGGCCATGGTGTCAAGGAACACAAACATTTGTTTTGGAAGAGTAATACGCTAAGAAGTGCTACGATAGAGTCTGGGAGGGAGGTAAAAGCAGGCACCTCAAGTCTCATAAAATATGCTTTGCTTAAATCATAAACAAAATTGCTTTATTTTAAAAAGGGTGATTTAGGAATGCTCCACCTCCGCCAATAAAACATCACATGCAGTAATAGACATGGAGAGGAACAGAGGATGGGGATAAAGCAATGGTTCTGCTCTTTTGTCCTTTGCTGTGTAACATCTGGATTCAGTAGTTAGTGCTTGGAAGCTGCAGCACCACAGATCCAATTAAGGCAGCTCCTTATGTCCCTCCCAGGGCACATGCTTCAGGCTTTCCTGATACAGGCAAGGCTTATCTATGTGGTTTAGCTTATAATTGGATCTTCTTACTATCTGGAGCAAGGATTGTTATTATCAACGTAACTTCTGGGAATCCATCACAAACAAAACCCTCGTAATTCTGACCACTCTAAAAGCAGGTGTGATCTCAGCCTTGAGCAACAGAACTGAAATGCATCATAACAGGAAGGAGGTTGGCCATCTGATTTAGGACCAGTCATATGTTAAAAACAAAGTACTCCAGCAATAAAAGCACACGCATCTAAGTTTTTCAATAATTATTACATTTTTCACTGACCATAGACCACAACTGTCGCAGACATGCTCCTCCGCTTGGCAACGATGTTGGCAGCCATGCAGGTGTAGTTCCCAGAGTCAGACAGACGTGCTTGCCGAATGATGAGGTTGTGGTCTGCTCTGGTGTCGATGTTCTCATCCAGGTTGGAATCTATGGGCTCCTCATTCTTTAGCCATTCCACCTGGAGAGGGATGGAGAAGAGAACATCAAGCAGGGAAAGAAAAGATGGAAGCAGAAAGTCTGCAAAATTATATTTCAGTGATTTCATTAATAAATGTAATTGTGATCTTTATTATAAACATTAAGATAAAAACGAAGCTAGGATGGGATTCCCAAAAGAGGTAGACATTCACAAATTCAGAAAAGAAACTACTCCTATTCCTATGATCTTTAAGGCCCCCTGCATCCCAAACCATTCTGTGATTCTGACGACCCTAAGAGCTCATTAACAAAGGCACACCAAATGAAATGCTAGGACAGAGTAAAGTAACAAATAATAAAAGAATGAAAAGAAAATAGCAAACAGAGTTGCAAGGGTGTGGATTATAAGGGAAACGTAATTTTTGTTCCACTGGGAGAAACGGAAGGAAGAGGAGCATGGGGAAAAAAAAGGAGAACAATTAATCATACTTTTCCTTGTGGTATTTGGTAGTTAGGAGGCTTTAATATTTAATCCAAGGAATCAAGAAGTGATGATAAAAAATCCTTGATCATTCTAGTTGAATATATTTCATTTACCTCCTGATTCTCTTCACCGTAAGTATTAAAGTTTGAACCTGAAGTAATTTTCTTAAATAATTGCATCTTATTATTTCCTCTATATTTGTTCTTGACTCCATACTGTGTGCTTTGTGTTTATTGTAACTACTCATTTATTCAATTATTGTCCTATTTACGAGAGTCCTTTTCGCTTCCCTAAGAGAATGAAAAACCAGGGAGGAAAGTGTAAACCTGTAAAGCCAAATGAAGGCACCCAATGCCTTGTGCTAACGACCTCATTAACCTGATAGGGAAGGACTTGGACTCAAGGAGCTGAAAAAGAGTTGACCAATGGAGATTAGCAGGCCTAGCAAAAGGCAGCTAGTGATGGCCACTTTTTTTTTTTTTTTTTTTCCTCCCCTGAACCTCAGAGGAAGGAGGTATGGGCTAGTAACTTAGGCCAATTTTTATTCAAAGAAAATGGAAGAAAATCTCAACCGAGAGAGAATAAAAATATTTTCAAGTACTACTCAATATTCAGTGCTTTACATGTTCAAACAATTGGACAATGATCAGTTCAACTTCATAATGCATTGGGGTGACACGTAATAAGTATTATTAATTCCACTTTTTTTGAGAGAGAAACAGACGGAAGGATGACATTGCTTGACATCACACTCAGTGGAGCAGCTAGGTCATCATAACAGATTCCCAATTTACATAAACATTCTTAAACCAGAGGCCATTAGTATTTCTTATCAAGGTACATAAATACCATGAAACGTGGTGTATAATATATTTCAACACCTCTTCTCTAGTTCACCAACCAACATATTTCTGAGTAGACCCAGGAATTATCTGCAAGGCGTTTCTCTACTTGAAACATAAAAAAAAAATTTAAGGCATGGTAAGCTGCTGTACGGAACTGAAAAATTAAAAATAGAAGCAGAATCAACAGATTCTATTAAAAGACTGAATAAATGTTAGGTTTTTAATAACTTTTCTAGACCTGAAGGAGGCATGGCTCTACCCTGGAGTCAAATACCCTTCTCATCTCAGTTCAGATGAATAACCTCGTTTAGGAACTTGTGGAAGGACCTGGAACTTTGTGGTAATGAGCTTATGGATTTGCTAGCTACAGGCATTCATTAGCACACTGTTCTGCGCAGATGGTCTGCAATTTGTAAATTTTCCAGTTTATAAACAAATCTGCAAAAGCTGACCATCAAAGCCAATTAGATTTCATGCCAGACAGCAGGTTCCCCTTCCAGTAGCATCAGTCATGTTGGGTAGCTGGGACAGAAGGTGTGTGACTGACACATCCACAGCTTCACGGCCGCGCACCGCAGCTGGGGACTTACCTGGAAAAATACCTAGGGCTGCGGCACCGAGATCCTACGCGATGACTATGGAGTTCGATAAAGTGATTATTTTACACATCTGTCAAAAGAGGCATTACCCGAGTGTGAAATACATTATAGATTTCATACCGAAAGTAGTTAAAAGATTTTAGTTCTCTATACTCTTCTCCTCAAACTGCAGTTAACCACAAATGGTAACAGATTGTCACCATCAAAGCTCACATTAAGCATTCCAGACATCTCTGCCTGTTTGTGCGTTCTTATAAAGCTCTGTCACAACCCTGGTTTGGTTTGGTTCTCCTCTCAAATCTTAACATATGTTTTTTATTTTTTAAACCATCTCCTTCACAAAAGTTTGAAGAGTTTTGGGACCACATGACTTTGTATGCTACAATGAGCAGCAGAATAAACACTGAGAGTGAAGTTTTAAGATGGTGAGTTCGAAGGTATGCCCCAGGACATCAAAGGAGGCAGGGCCTGGCACAAGTACACTTGTTTAGGTAAACCCAGAGGAGACTTTTCTCCAAAAGTCTCG